AACTAAAACAATATTGCTTTTCATTTATAAGGATTGTGATTTAAAATTATATTTAGCACAATAGGCGTGCATGGCATTTTAGATATATTAATGCCTACATGGAATACACAATTCCTGCTTTGAGAGTTTTACAGTGTGAGTTATATATAACGTGACATGATGCAGGGGGAGTATCAGCAAAATGATTATTTTAAATTAAAGTTAAGCCAAAATCTCTTCAATTGTTTTTGAGCTAGGTGAATGGAAGAGGCAGTCTATACTTCTCCCATTGTCATAAGACATTTTCTGCAGAAAAAACTCACCTGGATATACATTTGGCCCTTGTTTGATTCTGTTTGTATGAGGACTCAGCCGTGTGTCAGTGTGCATTTATCCTCTCTGCTACAAGGACTAGAAACGAAATGAAATTTAGATTCTGCAGACACTGATGGGTCCAGCAGAGAAAGTAGGTATAGCATAGCACTCCACAGTTCAATCCCTCATTTTTGACCTCTCCTCCAACCCTCATCTTCATCCTTTCCCTATAGTGCATATCAAATCGATCCCAAGTTTCCCAGCTGTAGTGAATGGAAAGAATAATTAGGCAAGGCATAGGAGCATTTCTCAAACCAACATAACCATACTAGTATGTTGAAATGAATAAATGGCCCACTAGACAGATTATCAGTCAATTTCTATGTATGTAAAAAGCAGCCTAGTATTTCTGTTTTGGAAAAAAAACAATTCAGGAGTAAGACAAATTTTATGTTGAAACTTTTCTTCTTTTTCTTTTCCCCCTCTTTTGCTGCTCATATTACATAAAATCAGTGTATGTGAGAAACAGCACTGCCTTGTGTTTTCATAATTTATGAGCTTTTTTATTGACAAACTTTCCAAATTTACTCAAAACTACGCCTCAAATTCTGCTCTGTTACAATGTGTAAGCAAGGGCAGAACATGCCTTGCAACTTTAAATATGCAGAATTACTATGCTTTTAGCAGTAATTCTCCATATTTATTAAATCCAAAATAGATTCAGAAACTTTCCTAGAGGTTACCATTATCTTGATCTTTCCTTTTTAGTCTACCATAATCTGTGCAATCTTTAGTTGACTTCAGACTGACTTAATTTATATTGTATATAACCAAAAATAATGTAATTATATTTTATCCAGAGATAAATATTATGTTAGGCCTTTTAAATTTAAGGTGACTTTCTCTGTTAAATTTTAATCTAGTGCTAGACGATGTCTGCATCTCCAATACTGATAATCAATGGGACCCTTACATAGTTTGTTCTTATTAGCTTATGCCCTAAAGACTACAGAGATCAATGAATTTGAGTTGTTGAGAACTAGCTGGGAAAGAAAAGAGAAGACTGTGATTTCCTATTGGATAGAAAACAGGAAACTCTCATACTGATCCTAAAATGTAATTTATTACTGTGGTTGTGGATAAAAGATCATATTCCCACTGTTTGTGAAAGGGTCTTAAGAGGATTAGTTCTTACAGGAAAAGTAAGACAAATCTTGTTAGAATAGAGGACTCTATTAAATATTAATACATTAATTTGATTAGATATGGATTAAGCCTTTTTATCAAAAGATAAATTATTAAAATGCCTCCTTTGGAAAGGGATTTTGTTCAGGAACAATGGTGGATGGATTAATAGTAATTCTTTTAAACAGCACTTTAAGAATTTAGCACATTTAAGAATTATTTCCTATTGGATGTGTTTTCCACTTGAAAAAAAAAAGAAGAGTCTAATCCTTATAGATGCTGATTGCCCTCCCAGAATCACAGGATACAAGTTTAAAAGCGACTTCTAATATTGGGTACCTCCCTTTTTTGAACTTCAACTTCAGGCATCTTGCACTTGATTTTCAGAGGTGACGAGCGCCGGCAGTTCCACTTAGTCAGTTAACAGATTTTAAAGCCAAAAGGGAACACTATGATCACTCAATCTGATCTCTTATAAAACACAGGCCATAGAATTTCACCAAGTGATTCCTTCATCAAGCTCAAGAACCTCTTTTAGAAATACATCCAATCTTGACTTAAATACTTGGGGCTTTTCTACACTATCTGCCAGATCGGCGGGCAGCGATCGATTCAGCGTGGGTTGATTTATCGCACCTAGTATAGACACGATAAATCAACCACTGATCGCTCTCCTGTCGACTCCAGTACTCCAACGAGGAGTGCAAACGGAGTCGACGGGAGAGTGTCAGCTGCTGACTTACCACACTGAAGTTGCATATCTTAGATCGACCCCGCATGGTAGTGTAGACAAGCCCTTAGTGATGGAGAATTCATCACATCCCTTGGCAGGTTGTTCCAATGGTTACTTACTCTCACTGTTAAAAATAAGTGCATTATTTCTAGCTCCAGCTTCCAGGCATTGGATCTTATGTCTTTGCTAGACTAAAGAGCTGGCTACTAATAGAAATCTTCTCCCCATCTTCAGGTGTATTTCATACACTTATTTCCTTGCTGATTCCCTCTTTTTAGGAGGGATTTCCAGAACTCTGCATCTGACCTTAAATCAGAAATGTATCTATTAAGATATCTCAATATCTACCTACCTGGTATCTTTAATATATTGTGTGCAGCCTTTATTATTTGCTGTCATTGGTTTTGCTTTTACTTGGCTCAGTCACGAGGTCCATCTAGTTCAGTATCTGTGTGCATCACCCACACCTTCCCTCCCCCCCCCCATCTCTGCCAGTGGTATGTACCAGATGCTTTAAAGGAAAGTGCCTGAAACTCTGACAATTCTGGAACAACATGTTCATAGAGGAAGTTTCTTCTGAACCCTGATTCAGATACTGTTTATTCAAATTTGGAATTGATCCTGACCAATGGGAAATCTTGGCAAGTGATTAACAAGTGGCACCATCGTCTCCATCTGGGTATCAAAGTCCATGACAGGAGCTGGCTCCTACAGTTTGAGGAGAAAAGAGCCCGTAGGAAGCAAGCAGCTCCCAACCAAGATACATACATTTGCAATAACTGCCAAAGATCCGGCAAATCTCAGATTGGCCTATGCAGTCACATGAGACCTTGCAAACCATCTACATCACAGGCTGCAATTCCCACCATCTCTTGCAGACGAAAGGATGCCAACTTGTTAACTAATGTAACTGTATTCCTATTTGGAGTCTGCAAAACTGTTGGCCTTGTGACAGTGAGTTCCACAGGTTAATTATACATTGATTTTTGTAATCAGTTTTCAATTTTGTTGCCTTGCTGTTTAATTCAATGTCTCCTTTGTTCAGCATCATGAGAAAAGCCAGACTTGACACTCATTTTACCGTGTCTATACCAGTCATTATCTTATGTACCTTTATCATTCCCCCGCTTATTTTCCTCCTCTCTGAACTAAACAGCCCCAGCCTTTTCTATCTCCCCTCCATTTGAAGGTCTCTCTCTGCCTCTAGGTATCTCCCTACCACTTTCATCTGTCTCTGAACTTCTTTTATTGCCAGTATTTTCTTTTTCAGCAAGTGACTAGCACCGAAGACAGTATTGCAGGTGAAGGTGTACAACTGATTGCTATAATAGCATAACATTTTCAGTGCTTTATCCCATTTTGTATGCACCCAACATTTTATTTAGGAGTTTTGAACATTACTCTACATTAAGCAGAGGTTTTCATTGAGTGTTCATAACGAGATCCAGGCCTTTTTTTCCTGCGGGATTAAAGTTAATTTTGAACCAATCACAGTGTACGGATAGTTCCAAATTATGACTTCCAATGTTTATTACTTTGCTTGAATTTCATCTGCCATCATGTTGCCCATTCTCCCTAGGTGTTCTGAAGTTCCCCAGAATCTTCTCTTGTCTGGACTAATCTAAATTTTGTGCAGTCTCCAAACTGTGGGCCTCACTACTTAAACCTTTTCCTGAGATCACTGACAACTAATAGATTCTAAGGCCAGAAGGGACCAATCGCCTAATCTCACTTCTCGCGTAACACAGACCATACAACTTCCCCCCAAATAATATCAAACAACCACGATCCCACTATAGAACTCTAGGGCACTCTACTATTAACCTTTTGCCATGCTGAAAACTGACCATTGATTCTGACTCTGCTTTTGTCCCGGTAGCGAGATTGTAATACATGAAAGCACTTTCCCTCTCCTCCCCTGACTACTTTCTTTCCTTAATAGCCTCTTGTGAGGGAATTCATCACAGGCTTTTTGAAAGTCCAAACATGTAATGTCAACCAGTTCTCCCTTATCTGTAGACTCAGATGTTTCTAAATAATGTCAAGGCACTTGACCTCATTAAAGATTAAGTGTATGACAAATTAAACTTTAAAATTAAAAAATCTGAGTTCTTAATCTGTGCCAAATATATTTTCTTTCCACCCTGAAATTACTCAAAAATAGCCTTATAACTTTAGCAAACTTTCCAAAACATTCCACTTTTTGGGTTAGAATAAATGTTTTTAAAAAAACCCTTAATTATGATGATTTTGCATTTGTCCACAGAAACACAAGATGAAATCCTGGCCTCACTGAAGTTAACCGGCGTTTTACCACTGACTTCAACAGAGCCATGATTTCACCCTGGGAGAATGAAGACACAGTCCCTGTTCCAAGAATCTTCTAAGGTACACTCTTTGGTTTTGTAGAAAAAGATCTCTTCTTCCCTCAGTTCTGATTTCAGGGATTTTGTGCTGTCATCATTTCCCTGACTCTCCAGTTGCAATTGACTAAGTAGCGGTGCCACCTGCCCACGTTTGCCCAGAAGCCTCCCTTGTTCCGAGGCAGCTGCCCTGGGAAATCCGCCAGGGTGCTCAGCACACTCTGCCGCGGGCTAGATTTCTGGGCTCAGGAGCATCCTCGATGTCCCGGTTTTTTGCAGCTTAGAGTGGCAACCTTAAGCCTAAGTGTCCCAAGGCGGACAAACACTCCATCGCCGGGGGGCGGGAAGGGGCACTGACCGGCCCCGGGCGCTGCCTGGGGCTGGGGCTGCTCGGACCTCCTGCCGCCCCAGGGCCTGGCACTCACGTGGTGGGGCGCCCCGGCGCAAGAGCAGCCCAGCAGGTGCCCCTTCGGGTTCCCGGGCCGGCGGGGGGAGGCGTGGAGGCAAGCGAGTACCCGCCCCATGGCCGGCGCCGACCCTGTCCGCGCCCCCCCGCCGGACGCTCCTCCCCCTGCCCTAGCGCCACATGATGCAGCTTCCCCCGCCCCGGCGTGGGGCGGTGCATCAGCCGCCGGGGAGAGGCGGAGGCCGCGGCGGTTTCTCGCCAGCCCCAGTCGCAGGGAAGAGCCGCTCCGGGGACGCAACCAAAAAGGAAGCGACCCGCCCGGCCAGGAAGCCCTGCACCGCCCAGCGCCCCCTCCCTGCGCCTCGCCCCGGGCAGCTGGTCCCTGCCGGCAGCGGGCACTGCCAGGCTCCGCTTCGGGCTGCTGGGGCCGGCGGGCGCTCGGGCATCCGCTGGGCACTGCCAGGCGGCTGGACACCGGCCATGGCTCGCCTCTGCCTGCTACTGCTGCTGCTCCTGGGCCGCTGGCTGGCGCTCGGCGGCGCCTTCAATCTGGACGTGGACGGCCCGGCTGTTTACTCCGGCTCGGAGGGGAGTTACTTCGGCTTCGCTGTGGATTTCTTCGCCCCAGACTCCTCCTCGTACGTATCTGTCAGCCCGGCGGGCCGGGGTCCGCACGCTGCTGGTGGGTGGGGTGTTGTAACCTGGGTCCCCTTTGGCGTCTCCAGGGCCGTGTGAGTCCCCAGAGGGGCTGTGGCCCCTGGTGGCAGGGTGATAGCAAGTGTGAAGAATCAGGACGGGGGTAGGGAGTTAATAGGCGCCTATATCAGACAAAGCCCCGACTATCGGGAATGTGACTATCAAATCAGGACATCTGGTCACCCTTGGTGGAGCCTTGAAGGACCGGGAGAAGGAGAATTGTGAAATGAACAAAGCCTCCCATCCCGTCCTCTTCCCCTGTCCCCCGAAGCGGGCGAACATCCTGTTCTACTCTAGCTCGGGTCTCTAGACACTTGATTTCTTTTCTGGCCCCCCCCCCCCCCCCCCTTGCGCTGTGGTTTTGAAATTAACAAGATGCATCCCAAGCGTACAATGTTGAGGGTCGCTTTCTATGAAAGAGGGCGTTGTGTGAGTGGCTTTTGGCTGTGGATGGAAGTCACACAACTGGGTGGCTGAAAGAAACTCTGCTTTTGAAACTCTGGTCCATTATCACCTTTGGCAAATTGTGTCAAATAACTTTGTCAGCCAGAAAAGTAATTCAGAAGTTCACACAATAATAATAAAGACCAAGCTAAAAGGAGGCTACCTACGCATTTAAATGGCTACTGTAGCTTATTTTTTATTTGGGAGAAAATCAACCAAGTTCTCTCTATTAAGCCTTTCAGAAGAAAACTAATGGCAGGCATTAGTGCGGGCCTGTTTGCTTTGAAGGGGATGGCTAAATGGCCTAATATTAAGGATTTAAATATATAGACCCCCTGAAACAATAGATTTAAATCTCCCTTCATTCTTCCAGGGTATACTGATCTAAAGCCCACTTGAAATCAGTGGAAGTCATTTTGTTTCCTTAGGCCCAAACTGAATCTTGTGCAGTTCAATCAATAGACCTGGCTTTTGAATGAGACCTTAAAAATTGTACTGCCTGGGCACTAAGGGCCATTTTTAAAACCAGATCCTTTTATGTGTGTCTGCATATGCATACACAGTTACCATGATTGTGTGCACAAACTGGATATACAAAATTCTACTCCCTGCAAACATAGGATAGGTCACTTTTGTTTTAAAACTGGTGTGCAAAATATATAGTTCTTCTTACTCATCATCATAGTTAAGGGCAGGGGCATAGACTTTGTGCTTGGACTGGAAAATTTCTTAACAGTATTGCAAGACTGTCATAATCATCGTAAATATTATGTATGCAAATTTAGGCATGGGTTTGTATTTGCATTGTTGCATACAAAACACTGAGTATCCTGTTTTAAAAATCTGCCCAAGTAGCTCCCCTGGCAGTTAACAGAAATATAGGATTTTTTTCTGGTGACTTTATCAACGGAATCAGAATATCTGTTTCCCACTCCAATGTTGTGTATGAAACTGTTTGACTCCATTGCTATAGCCCTTTGCAAACATGGAGGTATTTCAATGGTATATCTCTGAATTTTGTGAAGTATCTGAGGGTTCTAAAGGATCAAAAGTGCTCTAGAGATTGCTATTGATCATGCACACTTCTTGAAGGTGTGAGATTTCAAAAAGTTGCAGTCTGATTTTAATTGGCACCTTAAAATAAGGATTCAGAATGACGTAGTTCGTGATTCACAAAAGTGTTCCATAGTTCTTCTATCAACTCTTAGATGAATTATAATACTACAGTTTATCTTTTTTAGGTGGGATACACGTTATAGTTCTCCCTTTTTGTGCCTTCCCCACCCCTCCAAAAATCAACTTTAGAGGTACAAGATTTACATATATCTGACATACGGGGTGATTTTTCTATTCATCTCTTGATTTTAGCAGCTAGAATTTGTTTATAAACTTGTATAAATATTGAGTAACACTTTTTGTAAAGTATCAGTCTTGTTTGCATTCTTTGTTGCTCCAGTTAAGTAGAAGTCACCCTGTAACTTGTAAATGTTGCAACACTTTTTTGTGCTGTCTTCATTCTGCAAGTTTTATACTATTATCTTTAGTTGTATATCTTGAGTAAGAATAGTAAATATGTAAACAAATTAGAGGTTCATATTGTTTTCTGGCACAAAAGGTCTGATACAACTCCCATTTAAGTCAATTATGGGGGATTTTCCCATTGATTTTAATGGGAGTCAGAGTGACCTCTTAATGCCTTATTGGAAAAGGTCCTGGTTTACTATAGTGTTTGTTTGCTTTTACCCTTAGAGTATTGGCATTTTCCAGATGACCAGCCAAATGAGAGAGACATGACTATCCTGTATGGGAATTCTTTTCCTTGGTGGTTTTTATATTGTTATGCAGTCAAAATATGTATCTTGTGTGCTTACCCTACAAAATTAAGCCTCAATACTGCAGATTTACCATCTATTTAACTTTAAGCATGTCCCCTTCAATGAAATTATTCACTATTAATGCCCTTAAAGTTAAGAACATGTATAACTCTGCAGGATCAAGGTTTTATGTGCTACCCTACATTTTATACAATGGACCTGTTCAGGTGTTTGCAGAATCATTAGCTGTATTGAATATTTCATAAATGTATATATTTGCTGTGAAAGAGACACACATTCTGAAATATCAACTTCATAATAGTTACACCAGATTGCATAAATAAAAAGCAGTGATCATAATTAAGGCTATATTTTAGTGTCAAGTATTTTTAGTAAAAGTCACGGATAGGTCATGGGCAGTAAACAAAAATTCACAGCCTGTGACCTGTCCATGACTTTTACTAAAAATACCAGTGAATAAAACTTGGCGGGGGGCTGCCTGGGGCCCCTGTGGGTGCTGGGGGAGGGCAGCCTGGCTGCTTGGCGGGAGGTGGCCCAGGACCCCCACTGGTGCTGGAGGGTTTGGGGGTGGCCATGGGCCCCCACTGGTGCTGGGGGGCGCAGGTGGTGGCACATGGCCTGGGACCCCCGCTGGTGCTGGTGGGCGGCGGCGCACGGTCCGGTACCCCTGCTGGTGCTGGGGACACACGGGTGATGGCGTGCGGCCCGGGACCCCCGCTGGTGCTGGGGGCGACGGGTTGGCGGGGCCGGCAGGCTCCCTACCGGGCTCCATGCCTCCCCCTCCTAGCAGCAGCAGCGTTTGGGTGTGGGAGGGGGCAGAGGGTTGGGGCACGGGACGGGGTGAGACAGGATCTGGGCAGCGCTTACCTGGGGGCCTTCCCCGGAAGCAGTGACACCCCCTCGCTCGGCTGCTAGGCGGAGGACTGGCCAGGCAGCTGTGCGCGTTACCTCCGCCCAGAGCTCTGGTCCTGGCCAATGGGAGCTGCAAAGTTTAATGTCCAGAAAATGTAACGTCAAGAATGGAATGAAGCACGAGTTATAAACCTTAGTCCCCTCCAAAAAGCTGATTACAAATCTTGAAGCTTGTCCCTTGTGTACTAAATTTTCCTGTGTCACGCACTGAATAATTAGCCTTCTCTTTATCCCCACTGCATGCTTGTGGCTAAATAGCAAAGCTTTCATTGACTTCAGTGGTTCAGGATCAGATCCATGATTCTTCCTTTGTGATATGCAGAAGCTTGACAATGTATGTAAAAACAGTTTGCCCATTTGGTCCAACCACTGTGTGAGAGAGAAAATAGGCAGTGAACAACAAACTACATGATATCTTCAGTGGACCATTGTGCAGAAATCCAAGAAAACTGTTTTTCATTATGATTAGGAAAAGGCATTTAGTGAAATCAATGTTGGATCATGTTTCAGTAAAAGCTTTGTTATCTGGCATGTTGGGGGAATGGGGAGTGCTGGTAAGTCAAAAATTCCAGTTAACTAAGAAGGAGGGAGTTTGGGTGCAGGAGGGGGCTGGGGGTTGGGGCACGGGGGGGGGGGGGGGGGGGGCTCTGGAAGAGAGTTTGGGTGGGGGAGGGGACAGGAGGTTGGGGGCACGAGAGGGGGTGCGGGGTGCCAGATCCTGGCAGCACTCATCTCAGGCGGCTCCCCGCAAGTGGCAACGTGTCCCTGGCTGCTCCTAGGTGGAGGCACGGCTAGGCGGCTCTGCGTGAGGTCTCTGCCCATGGGAGTGCAGAGACAGCACTTGCGGTGGGGTGGGGAGCAGCGCACGGAGCCCCTGTGGCTGTCCCTCCACCTAGGAGTAGCAGGGACATGTCACCACTTCCGGGGAGCCACACTGAGCCAGGTAGGGAGCCTGCCGGCCCCGCGCCAACCAGACTATAAACCGGACTTTCAGTGACGATCAGAAATGCTGGTTTGTAGAGCTTTCCATTTGGTAAAGTGCCAGATAACACAGCTTTTACTGTATATGATTTCTGCCAGACTTGTGACATGGATCATTGACCCCTGAGCCTTTTCTGTTGCTGCTATGTAGAATGGTTTTTTTTTTTTTTTTTGTCACCTACTCTTCACTTGACATAGCTTCTTTAAGCTC